ATTCAACTCAAAATCTATTTCATTTTGAATTTTTGAGGATCGCGTACTTTTTTTTTTTGCAAAGCTGAACGTAATCAATTGTAAAACTTCAGCATCTCTAACAGAATAAACCCAATTTAGAGATTGCTGAAATCAGTAGGTAAGTAACTTTTCTTCTCCCCCATTCTCCCCTGCCCCATCATCAAGGTAGTCATAATTATCCAGCGATACAGCATAGAAATAGGCACTTTAGCCCACCACGTCTATGCTGACCAGCAAATACCAAACTAACCTAATTTACCTGGTCAATAGCCTAATACGCCCTGGCATTTTAGACACTTCTCTAAATGCTTCTTAAAACGTTGTGACATTACCTGCCTCCATCATCCTGTCAGGCAGCACGTTCCGTATTTCTACCACCCTCTAGGTGAAAAATCTTTTCCTCAGATATCCTCTAAACCACTTGTTCCTCACCTTAAGCTTATGCCCTTTGTTCGTAGGCATGTTTGCCATGGGGAAAAGATTCTCACAATCAACCCTGTCTATGTCTCTCATAATTTTGTATACCTCAATCAGAACCCTCTTAGCCTCCTCTGCTTCAGAAACAAACTCAGCCTATTGTGTCTCTTCTCATAACTGAGGCTTTCCATCCCAGGCACTTCCCCACTCCAGTGCAATCAAGTCCTTCTGACAGTTTTGTGACCAGAACTGCACACAGTATTCGATCTTTGGGCTAACCAATGTTTCATAAAGTTGCAAGACTTTCCTGCTCCTAAATCCTAAGCTCCGGCTGGTGAAGGCAAGCATCCCGTATGCCTTCTTCACCACCATGTCCACCTTCAGGGATCTATGGGTTTGTACACCAAGGTCCCTTTGTTCCTCAGTACTCCTTAAGGATCTACCATTCATTACGCAAATCCTTCCATTATTACAACTCATATTTACCAGGATTAAATTCCATCTGCCATTACCTGTTAATCAATATCAGATTGTAGCCCGAGACCAGCCTCCTCACTATCAACAACACCACCAATTTTTGGTGTCATCTACAAACTTATACCTTCTACATTCACATCCAAGTTGTTACATGTACATAACAAAAGGAATGGGTACCAGCACTGATTCCACCGATGGTCACAGACATCCAGTCATGAAGAAAACAACCCTTTTTCTCCTTTTTGCAAGCCAATTTTGATCGGTCAGCTTGCATTGGATGCCATGGGCTCTTACCTTTTGGAATCATAGAATCCCTCCAGTGTAGAAAGAGGCCATTTGGCCCATTGAGTCTACACTGACCCTCCAAAGAGGATACCCCCCACACCTATACTGCATGGATTTTTTTTTAAAAATCACATCTAACTCACCTAACCCACCCTGCACATCCCTGGACACTACAGGGGAATTTAGCGTGGCCAATCCACCTAATCTGCACATCTTTGGACTGTAGGAGGAAACCAGAGTACTCAGCGAAAACCCACACAGACATGGGGAGGACGTGCAAACTCCACACAGACAGTCGAGGGTGGAACTGAACTTGGTCTCTGGCACTGTGCAGTAACAGTGCTAACCACTGTGTTATGCTACCCTTTTGGACCAGCTTTCCACATGGGACCTTGTCAAAAGCCTTACTGAAGTCTGTGTGAACCTCATCATCTGTACTTCATCATCAGTATATTTAGTCATCTTTTCACAAAACTCAACTAAATTAATCAGACAGGATCTCTTTCCAACAAATCTGTGCTGACTATCCCTGATTGCTCCCTGCCTTTCCAAGTGTTGTTTAATCCTGTTCTTCAGAAATTTTCCAATAATCTCCCTACCACTGATGAGAGACTAACTAATTACCTGGCCTAAAGTGGTGAACTTCTTGAACAAAGGAACCACATTAACTGACAACCAGTCACCTGGCACATCACCTGTGGCCAGCAAATATTAAATATCAGCACCAAGGCCCCAGCAATCTTCTCTGTTGCCTCCCATAGCAGCCTGGGTTACATCTCATTGGCCACTGGGGATTTAGGCACCTTTATGCCCACTAAAACATCTAATATCTCCTCCTTATTAACCTTAACATGCTCTAGAACATCACCACCCCAACTGAAATGTCCAGTTACAATGTGCTTCTCCTTTGTCAACATAGCTAAGAAATATTCATTTAAGACCAATATCCTCTGGCACATATTGCCACTTTGGTCTCTAATAGGTCCCACACTTTCCCTGGTAATCCTTTTGATCTTAATATATTTATGAAATGCCTTGGGGCTTTCCTTAATCCCATTTGCCAAAGATATTTCATGCTTCTCTTTGCCCACCTAATTCCCCTTTAAAACAACCCCATACACTCTAAGTTTTGGGAGGCCTGTAGTATAATCCCAGCAAAAGGACTGCCCTTTTTTTTATTTCTGGGTTCTACCCAGATGGCCTCATCTGAAGACCATTCATAGACATCCTCTGCCATTATTGCAGCTGGTGTTCTTTATCGATAATGTAATGGTCCCACTTCTCTTATACCACTCCCAGTCATGTCTGAGATTTCTATACCCAGGAATGTTGATCTGCCAGTCCTGTCCTTCCTTCAACCATGACTCAGTGATTGCAACAATATCGTATTACCATGTGCTGACCAATGCTCAAAGTTCATGCAACTTGTCAGTCAGGCTCCTTGCTTTAAAATACATACAACTTAGTTTTCCTGTCCTCCTATGTGCCTTATTATGCCCATGTCTACTCCACCTATTGGATTATCTTCATATTCCTTCTGAACCTTGCTCCTGCCTTTATACCTACTTTGTGCCCTATTCCCCTGCCATATTAGTTTAAAACCTCCCTAACAATATGAGCAAACCTCCCAGCAAAGTTATTAGACCCATTCCAGTTCAGGTATAACTCATCCACATCCCACCTAGCCCAGAAGCTGTCCCCGCAGCACATGACATTCTAACTTTAGTAGTCCTTTTCTTTAGTCAACTACCAACTCTCTAAATTTCTACTTGTAATGATTGGAAGGAGGGCCAGGTGGATGTCATTGACTACAAGATCCTTGATTGGGGTTGTTAACCTGGGCCAAACAGGGAGCCCTAGCTGACAGACATAAACAGGAGATTAGGGGCTCTTGTGGTGCAGAGGTAGAGTCTCTACCCCGGGACAAGGAGGCCCGAGTTCACGTCCCACCTCCTCCTGAGTTGTATAATAACCTCTCTAAACAGGTTGATTAGTAAAAAAATAAACAGGAGATTCAGAGAGTCTCCTCATTTTAGTGACTGGCTTAGAGCTGGCTGTTCAGAATCCTTGCGGTGTGCACATGTAAATAAAGGGTGACTTGGTGATAGGATACCTGCCTCTGTGCAGTTATTTCACTATTGCAGGATCTTTCCTTTTCTTAATCCATATTGTTGGTACGGACATGTATCAAGACTACTCTCTGTTGAGCTTGCTCCTTCAGAATACCCTGCAGCCGCTCTAAGATATCCCAGAGTCCAGCACCGGGGAGTATTTGACAGAGTATAGCATTAAGGAGCCTGAGAAAAACTAGAGTGATTTGGAATTGAAGGGTGAGAATTCTCTATTGGATGAAGTCATACCAAACACAAAGGCAGTGGTTGTTGAAGGTCCATCACCTCAACATCAAGACATCCCAGCAGGAGCTCCTTAGTGTAATGTCGTAGGTCTACGCAACTGCCTTTGCTTCAGCTACGATCTCCATTCCATTATAAGGACAAAAGTGGGGATGTTCACTAACGATTGCACAATGTTCAGCACTATTTGTGATTTCTCAGATGCTGCGGTAGTCTGAGTCCATATACAACAAGACCTAGACAAACATCCAAGCTTGAGCTGACAAGGTGCATTAAAAACATTCATGCCAGACAATTGTCAGGCAATTGACATCTTCAACAAGGGAGAATCAAACTTTTGCCCTTTACATTCAATAGTATTACCACTACTATCAATGCCCTGTGGGTACCATTGACTAAAAATGGAACTGGACTAGCCACATAAATACTATGGGTACAACAGCAGGTTAGGGACTGAAAGTTGTGCAGCAAATACCTCACCTCAGAACTCTCCAATACCTAGATGACTGCAGCTCCAACAACTCTCAAGAAGCTTGACACCATCCAGGACAAAGCAGTCCTGCTGACTGGCACCCCATGCACCACCTTGAACACCAATGTTATGTACAACAATGTATACCATCTTTTAGCTGCACTGCTAACTCACCAAAATTCCTACAACACCTTCCAAACTCACAACTTGTAAGACTTAGAAGCATGGCAATACCACCACTTTCAAGTTCCCTCTCAAGCCATATGCCATCCTGACTTGGCAATACATAGACACTCCTTCACTGTTGCTGGGCAAAATCCTGGAATGCTCTTCCTAACAGCGTTGTGACTGACCCCATAGCCCAGGAATTGCTGCAGTTCAAGAAGTCTCATCACTTCTGAAGGGAAATGAAGAGGTGGGCAATAAATGGTGGCCTAAATATTGACACCCACTTCATATGAACTAATTAAAAATAAAGAGATAACATGTATTCTTGTAATTTCCTTAGCAATACTGTACTCCAGAAGCAATTTGCTGAACAAAGCTTTTGATGTTGACATCAAATAAATGCAAATACTATTTACTTTTCCTGCCAGGACATGCAACAAATTTTGTCAGATATAGTATTTAAAGAACTAGCTATATACATGATGTGTCTTTTTTCAGCCTATTTTTCTTTTAATATAAAATTGTTGAATGCTTTCTATATAAATGTGGTCAACATTTTAAGGCAGAAGTAGATGGATTCTTGATTATCAAGGGATGAAAGATAATTGAAGAAGAATGTAGAGTTGAGATTAAATCACTTCAGTCAAGATCCTGTTGAATAGTGTAGGCTCGAAGGACCAAGTGGCCTAGTTTCGCTCCATGCTCATATGTGAGGAAAAATCAGGATTCTTTTTGTGGTAGTTTCTATATTTAGAAAGAAGCACTGATATAATAGATACTAATACTAATAAATAATTACCACTCACACTTTGCTCTCTGCTAGAGTCAGCTTGTCTCCAAGAAGCTGTATTTCTGACTCTTTTTCATTCTTTGACAGATGATACTGAAACTCCTTTTCTCGAGTTGATGTCAACAATGTCTCAAGGTTCTTTACTGTGACCCGTTCAGTACACATCTGTTTCTTTAAAACTTCAACTTCGGACTTCAAATCTTCCAGTTCACTTAAGGTCTAGACAGACATGAAGAAGAGTTTTAAGTAGATTCAAAACATGCACCACTTGTCCAATTCTGACTGATAAGAGAAGACTAAATAAATCAATCTTCTACACTGTTCTAATGAAGTTCATTGCAAGTTCGAGGATAGCTTTGAATCAGTGCTTTGCAATCTTTCACAACACTGTGTGAAACTGGTCCCAGCTTCTTTCAGTGGTAGCGGTTGGCGATGATTCTGATATTCCTGTAGTTATGGACCAGACCAAATCCCCTCAAAATATATTAAGATGATAGCCTAGACGCTAACTTTTCCTTCTTTTAAACACAAGTGCCAGGTATTGTGTTCCAGATGCAATTCGATTGGTCAAACTACAAGTTTCATATACTCTAGTTAAAATATAATGAAAGAAAGAAGAAACTGGAGTAACAACTCTATCGGAAAACTTAACAGAATAATAGATTATTTAACTACTAAACAATAACTGTTCCAAAATAGTAACATGCCATAGGTACATCCTTGGCAAAGGCAAATACAGTTAAATAGATTTGTCTCATATGCAATTCTCTAGTCCAGGAGGAAAAACATCAAGAGAAAACTCTGAGGGAGAGAGTAGCAGGGAGAGATGTACTGCAGCTTCTAAACCCAGCTACAAGACCTCAGTAACTGCTACTGAAATACTAAAACTAAAAATTCTGGTTCTGTGGGAGCTTGACCCCATCCACTCAGGCTGCTTCTTTTGTTCCAACTTTTAATAAAAATCCAAGGCCTCACAAGCTGTTTACTTTATGGGCTTCGGAGCAGACTGCCAGGTACCTCTGTCACAACCTTTCTTCTGAAAAAAAACCAGGACAAATTATACCTCTTAAAGCCATAATACCATCACACTATTTATAACTCCTGTGGCACATCTTTTGTGTCATTATTTTCCCATCACCATCTCCTTATACCACTATTCCTTTGTCAGTCCTCCCTTTCACCCTTCCATGTAATTTCTCTTTTGTTCTTTTCAAACAACTTCTTTGCCTTTAGCTTTGTTTAAAAACTGTTTCGCTTCTCTTTGTATTTCTGTTCTGACAAAATATCATTAATTTGAAATGTAAACACTGTTTCATTCTCTAGATATTCTGCCCAACCTACTAAGAATTTCCTTCACTTTCTGTTTTTATTTCAGATTTCTTGCATCTTATATTTTGCTAATGTAGATGTAAGTTATGCTGACAAAGTATGAGGTACTATACATTAGTAGGATAAATAGGTGCCACATGTATTCCATGATTAATGCTAAACTAATTCAAGGACAAAGCAGAATGAGATCTTAAATAAAATAGAAAGTTTACTTTCTGGAGAAACCCAGCAGGTTTGGCAGCATCTGTGGAGACAGCAACAGAGTAAACATTTTGAGTCCCATGATATTTCTTCAGCATCCACCCAGCAATATGGAAAATTGCCCCAACACTGTATTGTGCACACAAAATGCAAGACAACTCAAACCTGGTCAATTACAGCCCTATCTGGCTATCCCCAAACATCAGTAGAGTGATGGAAAGTGTAATTGACAGGGCTAACATGCAGATTTAATCACTGATGCCCAATTTAGCCTTGCAGTTCGTGACCACATTACACTCAGTATGAAAATAGGCAAAAGAGCTGAACTCCCTAGTTGAGGCAAAAGTGACTGGCCTTCACAGCAAAGTTGCATTTGACCAATTGTGATATCAAGGAGCCCTATCAAAATTAAAATCAATTTGAATTAGAGAATATTTCACCCCCAGGGCATCACTGCAGGACATCGTCAAGGTAGTATTCCAGGCCCCGTTATCTTCAACTACTTCATTAATAACCATCATAAGAGTCCAAAATGGGAATGTTTATTGATTACTGCACAATATTCAAAAACATTTGCAATTCCATCTATTGAAGCAAATTGTGTCCACGTGCAGCAAACATAGACAACATCAGGGTTTGGACCGGTAAGTGGCAAGTAACATTTCCTTCACACAAATCTCAAGCTATGACCATCTCCTCTTGACGTTCAATAGCATTACCATCACTGGATTCCCCACTATCAATATTCTAAGATTACTACTGACCAGAAGTTGAATTGTCCATTTAAATATTGTTGCTACAGCAACTATCCCTCTGAGGGTCCTGCCAAGGCTATAACTTTGCCAACGCTTTTTGCAGCACTGACTTGGAGTTCCGTGCAGAAGACAAAAAATTAACAGGAACTCTACTTAGGTCATTAATGTATCGTAAATGAGTAGTGGTTCCAATGCTGATATTGGAGGAATACTGCTGGAGAGCAAATTCTATTCTGAAAATCAACTGTTCATTACTATTCTCTAATTTACAGCTCTACTTCTTTTAACCCCATGGGTTTAATTTTTGTTAACAAGTCTATTAGGTTGTACTTCATTAATTGCCTTCTGAAAGTCTATATAGGCAGTTTGAAGGAGGCAGTGGCGTAGTGGTTATATCAGTGGCATGCAGATTTTACAGACATGGATTCAAATCCCATCACAGTGGATGGTGAAATTTGAATTCAATAAAAAAAACTGGAATTTAATAGTCTAATGGGGACTTTATATCCTTTAGGAAAGAAAACCTGCTGCCCTTACCTGGTCTGGGCTACATGTCACTCCAGCCCCACAGAGATGTGGTTGACTCTTAACTGCCCTCTGGGCAATTAGGGATGGACAATAAATTCTGGCCTTGACATTAATGCCCACATTCCACAAACAAATTAAAATTAAATTTCAACTAAATTACCCTCATCAATACTCAGTCACTTCAAAGAAATTGATTTGTCTTGAATAAATTTCCATATAATAGCCTATATTTTTCCAAATCCTAACTAATTTAATTCTGGATTACTGTCTCTAAAAATTTTACCATCACTGTTGGGCTCAATGACTATTTCATTTTTTTAAAAACTGGACTGTAGTATTTGCAGGGAAGGCTAAACAGCAGTGGATGAAATATATAGAGGAACTTCAAAACTGATCCTTAATGTCTGGACTATAAGTTAAAATGCTAAAAACAGCAGACTTTCAGTCTGGAAATAAGGTGTCTTATACATCATTATATAGAAATTAATTAAACTCATGGAAAAATTAATCCTTATGTTACTTTATATTTTAAGAGGAAAATGGAAGTATATAAAGATCCAAGGCAGTAAAAGATAAACAAATTATTTATATGAGGAAGCTATAATTCACGAAGAATTTGGGAAACAAATTTAGAATAGAACAGAGATGGCAATGATAGTGGAATCGCTTATAAAATGACTGGATGCTATCATGAGAGGACCTTTAGGATTTTTCTGGATGAGTGAATTATGATGTACTGAATGGCCTCTCTCACTTGTAATTATTTTGTGAAAACAGTAAGAATCTATGCGAAAAGGATTTATGTTGTAAACATGAGGAAATCCGGAAATATACAAAATGCAATCCAAGATTAGGTACCGATAGAAAACTTGGACCTTGAGTACATATGAAGTAGAAGCCCTCATTGTTTAATATCACCAGTACCATCAAGACAGGAGATCAACCCTATTTCAGTGGAGGGTGCAGGAGGGCATGCTCAGCACCAGAGAGCAGCAGCAGGCATATCTAAACATGATGTATCAACCTGATGAAGCTACCAAGTAGGACTGCTTGCATGCCAAACAGCATAAGCAGCAATTGATTGACAGAGCTAAGCGATCCTACAACCAATGGATCAGATCCAAGCTCTGCAGTCCTGCCACATACCATTGTAAATGGCTGGTGACTATTAAACAATCATTGGAGAAAGAGGTTCCACAAACATTCCCATGTTCAATAATGGAAGAGCCCAGCACATCAGTGCGAAAGAGATGGCTGAAGCATTCTCAGCAATCTTCAACCAGCATGGATGATCCATCTCGGTCTCCTCCAGTGGTTCTCAGCATGACAGATGGCAGTCTTCAGCTTATTTGATTCACACCATGTCATATCAAAAAAACAGTTGTGGATCCTGACAACATTTCAGCATTTGTACTGAAAACATGTGCTCTCGACTTGCTGATCTCCTACCCAAGGTGTTCCTGTACAGCTACAACACTAGCAAAAGTCCGGCAAGATGGCAGCAGGGTACGTTGCTCCATTCGGAGCTCCACTCTGCTCACCAGTTCTCTTTCTCTTTCTTTCTTTGCCCTTCCTTTTCTTTTCTCCCTTCTTTTCCCTCTGTCTGTAGTAATACTATTCCTCCCCCACCCCTTTTAACTACCCATCTTAAGGAGTCAGGAAGGAGCTGGGTTGCGACCGGGAACCACACGGAGGGAGCTGAAAGCGTGGGTTGTGACCTGCAGCAACAGCGGATCAAGTGTGAGCTGGAGCAACGGCGGCAGATCAAGAATGGGCTGACAAGGCCGGGCTGATGAGGCAGCGGTAGCGAGATCAGGCCAGTGAGGCAGCTAAGAGTAGGATGCTGGCAGAGGCATGGCGAGGGCTGGACCATAAGACATAGGAGCAGAAATTAGGCCAGTCCGCCCATCAAGTCTGCTCCGCCATTCAATCATGGCTGATAAGTTCCTCAACCCCATTCTCCCGCTTTCTCCCTGTAACCCTTGATCCCCTTGATAATCAAGAACCTATCTGTCTCCGTCTTAAATATACTCAATGACCTGGCCTCCAAAGCCTTCTGTGGCGGTGAATTCCATAGATTCACCACTCTCTGGCTGAAGAAGTTTCTCTTATCTCCGTTCTAAAAAGGTCTTCTCTTTACTCTAAGGCTGTGCCCTTGGGTCCTAGACTCTCCTACCAATGGAAGCATCTTCCCAACATCCACTCTGTCCAGGCCATTCAGTATTCTGTAAGTTTCAATTAGATTCCCCCTCATCCTTCTAAACTCCAATGATAGAGTCCCAGAGTCCTCAAACATTCCTCATATGTTAAGATTTCCCTTCCTGGGACCATTCTCGTGAACCTCCTCTGAACCCATTCCAGGGCCAGTACATCCTTCCTGAGATATGTGGCCCAAAAGAAGCACTGAGTGGGACTGCAGCAGTGGAAAGGCAAGTTAGACTCTCTTAAGTTATCCTTTTTTTCTTATCTTATTCTAAGCTAATGTGAATGGCGCCATATATGTACAGCGAAGGCACACACTTTTCTCTGTATTTTTACATTGAATACATGTGACAATAAATGATTCAAAAATAAATCTACCTGACAATGTGGAGAATTGCCCAGGTATGTTCTGCACGCAAAAAGCAGGACAAATCCAATATGGCCAGTTATCGTCCGATCAGTCTATTCTCGTTTGTCAGCAAAATGATGGACAGTGCCATCAACAATGCTATCAAGGAGCACCTATTCAGCAATAACCTACTCACTGGCGCCCAGTTTGGCCTCCACAAGGGCCGCTCTGCTCCTGACCTCATTACAGCCTTAGTTTAAACATGGACAAAAGAGCTGAATTCCAGAGGTGAGGTGAAAGTGACGCCCCTTGACATCAAGGCCACATTTGAACGGATGTGGGATCAAGGAACTGGAAACAATTGGAATCGGGTGCAAATTCTCCACTGGTTGGAGTCATACATAGAATCACAGAATTCCTATAGTGTGGAAGCAGGCTATTTGGCTCATCAAGTCCACACTAACCCTCTGAAGAGCATCCCACCCAGACCCTCCCGCTACCCTATCGTTGCATTTCCCATCCTAGATACTATGGGCCCTAGATACTACTACAATTTAGCATGGCATATCCACTTAACCTGCACATCTTTGAATTGTGGGAGGAAACTGGAGCACTTGGAGCAAACCCACGCAGACACAGGGAGAATGTGCAAACTCCACACAGACAGTCACCCGAGGCTGGAATCGAACCTGGGCACCTGCCACTGTAAGGCAGCAGTGCTAACCACTGAGCCACTGTGCCACTGTACCTGGTACATAGAATAATGTTCATGGCTGTTGGAGGTCAGTCAATCCAGCTCCAGGACGTCTTTGCAGGAGTTCTTCAAGGTAGTTCCCTAGGCCCAACCATCTTCAGCTGCTTCATCAACGACTTTCCCTCCATTATAAGGTCAGAAGTGGGGATGTTTGCCGACGATTGCAAAATGTTCAGCACCATTTGCGAGTCCTCAGATACTGAAGCAGTCCACATTCAAATGGAACAAGATCAGGGCAATATCTAGATACAGTAAGACAATATCTAGGCTTGAGCTGACAAGCAGCAAATCATATTTACACCATACAAATGCCAGGCAATGACCATCTCCAATAAAAGACTATCATTGCCTCTTGACATTCAATGGGGACATTCAACCATTATTGAATCCCTCATTATCAACATCCTGGGAGTTACCATTAACCAGAAACTCACCTGAATGTACCATATAAATACAGAGGCTACGAGCAGGTCAGATGCTAGAAATATTGTGGCAAATAATTCACCTCCTGATTCCCCAAAGCCTGGCCATCATCTGCAAGGCACAAGTCAGGAGTATGATGGAATACTCTCTGCCTGGATGATTGCATCTCCAGTAACACTTAAGAAGTTTGACACCATCTAGGACAAAGCAGCCTGCTTGATTGGCACCACATCCACAAGCATCCACTCCCTCCACAAGTAACGCTCAGTAGCTGCAGTGTGTACCAGCTACAAGATGCACAGCAGAAATTCACCAAACCCACTGCCACTTCTTTCTGGAAGGACAAGGGCAGCAGAAAAATAGGAATACCATCACTTGCAATTTCCCCTCCAAGCCACTCACCATCCTGACTAGGAAATATATCGCTATTTCTTCATTGTTGCTGGGTCAGAATCTTGGAATTGCCTCCTGAGGGGTAATTTAGGGCCTACCTACAGAACATGGGGAGGTGATGGCCTTGTGGTATTGTCACGGGACTGTTAATCCAGAGACTCAGAAAGTGTTCTGGGGACCTGGGTTCGAATCCCGCCATGGCAGATGGTGGAATTGGAATTTAATAAATATTTGGAATTAAGAGTCTATTGATGACCATTGTCGATTGCTGGAAAAACCCATCTGGTTCACTAATGTCCTTTAGGGAAGGAAACTGCCATCCTTACTTGGTCTGGCCTACATGTGACTCCAGACCCACAGCAATGTGGTTGACTCTGAACTGCCCTCTGGGTAATTAGGGATGGGCAATAAATACTGCCTAGCTAGCGACATCCATGTCACATGAATGAATTTTAAAAAAAGCCTGTATTTTGTACAAGAATTTAAATTTGTACAGTGTCCTTCATTGCTAAAGCGCTTTACAGGCAACTGTGTATTTTTTGTACTGTAGTCACTGTTAGAAAATGGGAAACAGCTGTCAATTTGCACAAATCAACTTCTCACAACTGGATAGTCTGTTTTGGTGATGTCAACTGAAGGAATCAAAAATGGCCAGGACACAAAAAATAACTTCTTTGTTCTTCATTAGAAACTACCAGGGGACCTTTTCCATTCCTTTGAAGGCAATTATCTAGATGTTGACACCTCATCTGGAAGGCAGAACCTCTAACAGTTCAAAACTGTTCAATACTACACTGGAATATCATCTCCGAGTATACGCTCAAGTCTTTGAAACAGATGTATTTGAGGCGAATGTTACAGCACCTGCTGTGTAAATATTTATTCTGTTCTGGATCAGGTAAATCCAGTATGAAGAATGTTAAACCCTATAAGGAATAATCGTCATTTAAAGCTCCATAATGGTTTTCATCTAGAAGGTCTCACAGTTCAACCCTATGTTACTACAAAGGATAACATGGTGTAAAGTAATCACAATATCTTCACAATCCATCCTGTTAAACGTTCTATAGGAAAACCACACATAAAATTACTGCAAACATCCAATATATGATGAAGGCTCTAGTAATGATGTTACATTTGCTGAGTGAATGTATAATTTAAAAAGATAATTGTGAAGGTGACTTGTTTTGTAATGTGCTCTCGACTGACTATTCCAAAGTCAAAGTAATAAAATGTTGTCATCTGGGCTCACATTCTTGAAATCAAAATTATAGTCAGCATTTAGGAAGTGGTCCACAGAAATGGGAAATACAAACCTACAATTTCTAATCACTACATAGATCATTCTTTATCTTAATAGAATCATTTTAATCTAACATTTCAAAATGTTGCTTTAAATTAAGCATAGAGAGTATTTCATTTAACCATACCTTTTCATGTTCCATATTCTTAGAAGTAAGTTGCCGTGAAAGCAATTCCTTATTCGAATCCAGTTGGGCACACAGTTCTCTGACTGAAGCCAGGTCCCCTAAAACATGGCATTTCTCAGCCTGCGTCTGCCGCAACTCTTCTTCCAGTTTGCTCATGCTTTTAGATATACAGGAAATCTCTTTCTCATATGCTTGTTGGGCAGCTAGGTGCTAAATTAAAGAAGGAGTTACAGACAGGCACACAGAAACATGTATATATTTGGGACATTACACTGAAACAAAGTTTACAATAATAGACAAGTTAATTGATGGTGCAATTCAGTAGTAAGTATGGAATAAACAATATTTGACTGTTTTCCTTATTCTTTAATCGAATTTTGACTTCTGCATACAACAGTACATTTTCAAGACATCGTAAGATATAATCGCCTGGAGCATTGCTTTTAAGGAAATTCCAGCTGCAGTGGTCACTAATCTTCCTACACCAGGCTGTATAATGGTTTAGGCTGTACTTACAAGACTTTTATCCAGCAAAATTGGGGCAGTCAGTTCCCTCAAAAGATGACGATTGATTTTTCACTCTTTTACTACCAGTGATGATCCACAACCAGAAGCAGAAAAACAGGAAGCCAAAATAGAAGACAACTAAGCAAAGGCAGGCATCAAATAGGATTAGAATAACGTTAAAATGACAGAATTAAAGGCACTGTATCTGAATGCTTGTGCTTTCACAAAATGATCGACAACTTGAATGCACAAATTGCGGTGAATGGATATGATTTAACTGCCATTATGGAGACATTGTGACCATGACTGGGAACTGACCATCCAGAGATATTTTGCATTTATGCAAAAGGCATATGAGATGGGGTAGCAGTCTTGAATAAGGGATAGATCAGTGCAGGAGTAAGGGAGAATCGAAGCATCAACTTAGGTGGGGCTAAGAAACAGCAAGATTGGGAGCAATTGAAAACCCAGCAAATAGGTTGAAGAAACTGATTAAGAAAGGGAAAAGAGAATAGAAATGCAAACCAGTGAGAAGCATAAAGATGGACAATGAAAAATTCTTTAGCTATGTGAAAAGGAAAAGCTGAGCCAAATATAGCCTTATTACAAGTGAGGACAGGAAAATATATAGTGGAGAAACTAAACAGCATTTTTTTTCTCTTTTCAAGAAGATACAGAAAATCTCCCAGAAATACTAGGCAACCAAGAGCATTGTGAAACTGAGGAATTAAAAGAAATCAGTATTACTGGAGAGGTAGCACCTGGAATGTTAACTGGATTGCAGATTCATAAATCCCCTGGACTGGATGATATTCATCCCAGTGAGCTTAACTGATAGGCTACATAGGGAGTGAATGCATTGGTGGTTTTCTTTTAAAATTCTATGGATTCTGGAAAGGGTCCCATGGACTCAAAAATAGCAAACGTAACCCCACTATATACAAAGAGAGGAAGAACAAAGAAAATTACAGCACAGGAACAGGCCCTTCGGCCCTCCAAGCCTGCGCCGATCCAGATCCTCTATCTAAACCTGTCGCCTATTTTCCAAGGATCTGTATCCCTCTGCTCCCTGCCCATTCATGTATCTGTCCAGATACATCTTAAATGACGCTATCGTGCCCGCCTCTACCACCTCTGCTGGCAACGTGTTCCAGGCACCCACCACCCTCTGCATAAAGAACTTTCCATGCATATCTCCCTTAAAGGACAGCGGAGAACTACAGGCCTGTTGCTTGACATCAGGATGAAAAATGTTAAAACCTAACAATAAAGGCTATGATAACTGAACATTTAGTAAAGAATAGTAAAATTGGGCAGTCTCAAAATTGATTTATGAAAGAGCAATCATGTTTGACATAATCTTTGGGAGACTTTTGAGAACAACACGTGTAACGTTGATAAAGTGACCACACAAAATAGGAAGAGAAGTAGGCCAGTCAGCCCATTGAGTCTGATCCATCTTTCAGTTAGATCATGGCTAATCAGAATCTTCAACTCCCCTTTTCTGCTTGTTCCCCATATGCTTGATTCCTTTATAGATTAAAACTCTGTCTGTTTTCAACCTTGAATACACTTAATGACCCAGCTTCTATAGACTGCTGTAGTAAAGAATTCCATAGACTCACTACCCTCAGAAGAAAATTTCCATCTTTATCTGAACTGGATGATCTCTTACCCTGAGATTTTGCCCTCGGGTCCTAGACTTTCCCACAAGGGGAACCACATCGCAGCATCTACCCCGTCAAGCCCTCTAGAAGTCTTTGATAATACCTTAGATAATAACCTTTAATGAGGTTGTCTCACATTCTCCAAAGGCTCCAATGAGTACAGGCCCAACCTACTCATCCTCAAATCCTTCCATACCCGAATAAACCTAGTGAACCTTCTCTCGACTGTCTACAATGCCTATATCTCTTGCCTTACAACTTAGGGGCCAATATTTAAAAGCAAAGGTTGCCCATTTTAAATAGAGCTGAGATTTCTTTTTCTCTCTGAGGGCCACGAGTCTTTTGTACTTTCTTCCTGAAAAAGTGGTGGAAACAGATTATTGAATATTATTAAGGCAAAGATAAATAGGTTGTTGTTGAACAAGGCAGTGAAAGGATATCAGGAGTAGGTGGGAATGTGGATTTGAAGTTAGAATCAGATCAGCCATAACATTATTGAATGGTGGAGCAGGCTGTAGGGGCTGAATGGCCTACTCCTGCTCATTGTTTGTAGATTAGTACATAGAATTGAAGCAAAGGTAAGGTCATCATTTGGATCTGAAAAGGAGACAACAAGAGGGAGAGAACAAGAGTCTTTCCTAACAGTGATTTTTGGGGATCTAGGAACATGGATCATTCAATACCATGAAAATGCCCAAAAGTCTTGATCCATTTATATCTAAGACTAGAAGTCATGCACCAGCTATACATGACCATTGTTAAACCTCACCTTCTGAGCATAGTGAGCAGTCTGGTCACCATACCTTAGGAAGATATATTAGACTTGGAACAAGCACAAAATAATTTATTCGATGATATCTGGACTCCAACTAAGGACGAAATCATAAGGAGAGATTACAGAAGCTAGTGTAGTATCACCTGGAATTTTCAATCTTAAGGTGTGATTTGTTCAGTGTTTTCAAGATTTGAGGGAAATATATAGAGTAAATAAAGGAGAACCGTTCCTGCTGGTTGGCGAGTGCAAGGTATAGAAATTAAAGTCAGAGCTCTGAGGAATATTATTAGAAAATATATCTAGACACAAAGGTCGGTAGAGTTCTCTCCGTCAAACAGCATGTAATGCTAGAGCATTGGTAAATTTTAAACCAGAATTTAACAAATGCTTGTTATCCAAAGGATTAAGGAATGTGCGACAAAGGTAGGAACATGGAGCTTGTTTGCTGATTAGCCATGATTTCACTGAATTTCTAAACAGGCTTAAGACACAAAATTGGCCTACACCTATTCCTATATTGCTTAAAATGACCAATTAGATACTAGACTTTATGTATATTATAGTTTTATAGACTTTGTTGATAAATAATACCTCCTCTATTTCCTTTTCAAGCTTGCCGACTCTTTCCTCAAGATGCCGTCTCTCTGTGTCTACAGACAGGAGCTCTAATCGAATTGAGCTACTTTCGCCCTCTGCCTGATGAGCCTTGTTCTCCCAGTTCTCAGCCTGATTACTCGCCATTCGGAATTGCTCCAGCATATGATGGAGTTCTTGTTCCTATTGTTAACAAAAAAAAGTATATGTCTTAAAGATTGAAGAATACTTGCAGCACATAGACAACAATCCTTATTCTCCTTTCATCATCACCTTTAGGTGTTGATCCATCAGGAAGTATAACAACGGTTCACTTCGTTGAGGGAATGATTCAATAAGGTGACTTTGAGTAGAATAGGTCTACATTCCCTGGAAATTAGAGACAAAAAGTGACCTCACTACAGCATAAAAATCTTATGGGGTTTAATATGGTAAATGCTGAGAGGACATTTCCTCTGAACATGTAGTCTCAAATTGGAGGTCACAGTCTCAGAAAAATATCAGGACTGGTAGGAGAAGAAATTTCTTTATGCAAAAGCATGCTAGAGCTTTAGAACTATCATAGCTGGGTACTCAGGCATTAAGAATATCCCAGACAAGGGTCAATACACTTTTTTTTTAAATAAATGAAGAAAACTAAGAGATATATTGAGATAGAATGTCATTTAATGTCAAAAAAGGTTTGAATGGCCAATTCTGCTCCCATTTGTTAGGTTCTAATCGAACAGATATGTGTGGCTATCACCACTGACAGCCAATGAACAGGGTAGTCTGAACTTTGGACGTGCATTTTACAAATATAAAAGTATTGCTATGTGACCTCCAGCTGCATTTCAGAAAACAAACTTATCATTAATGGAGCTGGTCAGTTCATACAAATCCAGCAGAAGCAATCTTCTTCTGCCAATAATTAGGGAACAGTACATGGGAAGTGCATCCTGTGGGGCTCAGAAGGTGGATTTCCAAACTTCTTTTAGGATGTCAACTTAATTTTGTATAAACATCTGGACTCAGTAATGCCTGCAGCCACATAGAAAGGAAGAGCTTGGGATGCATTTTAAATCTTAAAGTGGTATTACATTTTAAAGGCCACAAACACTGGAAACCTTAGAAGAGAGAAAATGTTTCAAGATCTACTGGTGGTCCGTACAACAATTATCTAACATGACAACTGGAAGTTATTTTTGGTCAGTTTTTAAGATAGGTTACATACATCAAAAGTTCTCTTCTTTCATTGCCATGGTCTTCTTCTTTAATAAATGCTGCGACTTGTTTGAACATTTTTGCACTTCTGGGCTATAACAGGGCTGGGACAACAGCACATCAAGTGTTGGTCCAGTTGCTATTAAAGACTACTCAGAGAAAATGGTATGAGACTAGCACCATTACTTTAGAAAACGTTTGTTCTCTTGATCCTTCACATCATCCTTGCAATTTTGCAAGGAATTATGAAACCCCAATGCCGTTTGCAGAGGAAATTTGCTTCCTTATCTGGTCTTGCTTAGATCTGACTCCAGACTATGAACAATTTGATTGATTCTTAATGCCCTTAGCAAGCTGCCGAGTTGAATCAACTGCTACAGAAAATTTGAGTAAGCATAAAACCAGACAGGCAACACAACATTGACCTAGGTGCTGGAAACCGTGAAAGTACACCCTCTGTCCAGTGAATGCAAAAACGTTCTTCTCACTTACGCACAAAAATTGGAAGAACTGTCCTAATGGCTAGCTAAAAGTCTGAAATAGCCATGCTCACCGAATTATACATTACAGCCAATGTTTCATCCTCCACCATTACCGACCTTAGATACGTCCTCTAGATACAGGCAGTACAGATTCACCAGAGGTGGCTGTTTAAGGCCACGAGAAGGTGGGCTTGAGAGTCCTCAACATTGACTCCGCACCCCATGAACTCTCATTGCATCAGGTCAAACATGGATAAGGGAACCTCCTGCTGATCATCACATCCTGCTCTATATTAGCCAATGAATCAGTGACCTTCTATATTGAGCAATTTTGGACGAAGTAGCAATGTTGGGGGACTTCAATACTCACTGGCCTGTGGCACATAATAGGAGAACCAACAAGAAGAAAAATCCTACTTGTTTTTGTCCTCACAAATTTACTTTTCATTGATGCATCTGACCATGACAACAGTAGCAGGAATGATCTCTGCACAATCCTTGTGGAGACTGAAGTGTAATGGAATATGCAAATAATTTTGACATAATTGATATTAATCTGACATCAACAAACTGATCAGCGGAAGAGATTAGACTGGAAGAAGCGTGTAAAGAGAGAGGTCTTAGACACTACACCAAACTGCTGTATTTAGTAACCTGTAATGTTCAAATGTGAATAAAGAGTGTTAAAGTACTCAAGAAAGCGAGAGTCCCTTATTCTAGGATAAGGATCCATCACCATTTAACAGTGTATATATGAGCACCTACAGCCCAGGGATACTAATGAGACATATCTAACAATGCTGGTAGCAAGGTATTCTATCAGTAAAGACTAAGCTCTATCTTCACACAGCATGACTAAAAACTGATCTAGCAGGCTCAAAGCTCAACATCCATGAAGCACGCAGCCGTCAACATCAAAACTGTATTCTTCAACAAGCTTCCACTCATTCCAGCAAACTGCTACTCAACAATTACTATCAAGCCAAGGCAGTAACCCTAGTTCAGTGAAGAATGCAAGAGGACATGCCAGGAGCAGCACCAGAGATACCTAAAAATAAAGCGTCAACCTAGTGAAGTGACAACACAGGATTACTTGCGTTCCGAATAAGCAATTCCACAACTATAGATCAGATCAAAGCTTTGCAGACCTGCCAAATCCAGTGGTGAAGAGTTGTATACAATTAAACAATAAACAACAGGTGGAGGCTTCAGAAACAGCCCATCCTCATTATCTTTAATTAGAAGTACTGAGCGGATGATCTGTCTCTACCTACTGCTGTGGAGCTACCGTTACAGATGCCAATTTTCAGACAATTCAATTCATTTCATGCGTTATCAAGATATGGCAAAGGAACTGGATACTGCAAAAGGGCTAAGGCCCTGACAACATCATAGCAAAATTAGAAGTCACACGACACCTGGATATACTCCAACAGGTTCTGACTTCCGCCTTTGTCCACCCCAGTCCAGCACTGGCATCTCCACATCATAATATCATTGCAATTATACTGAAGAATAGAACTTTTCCAGAGCTAACCATACCCTGAGATGTGTGAGTACAGGTGTAACAATGGAACCTTCCCAACAATGTGGAACATTACCTGAGTAAGCCCTGTTCACTAATAGGAGGATAAATTCAATCCACCCAAATACAGTTCCAGGCATCAATACCATGTTGGTCCAAACATGGACAAAACTGCTTAACAGCAGAGGTGAGATGAGAGTGACTATCTTGATATCGAGGCATCAATTGATCAAGTATAGCATTAAAGAGCCCTAAGAAAACTGAAATCACATTTTTGAAGGCAATGAAGGATAATAGGATGCAACAGGAAAGGACAGCTATGATATCTTCATATGGTGGAGCAGGATCCTATTCTTGTTTCTAAGCCTTCGTTCCAATGAAATCAATGGGGATCAGGGAGAAAACTCTCCAATCCACACAATGGTGGGTTGATCAGGTTGTTGGAAATCAATCATCTCTGCTTCAGAATACTACTGCAGGGAACTGTCCTGTCTCCAAACATCTTCAGCTGCTTCGACAATGAGCTTCCCTCCAACACAAGGTCAAATGTTTTCTAATGACTGCACAGTGTTTAGTACCATTCTGAACTCAAGGACTAAAGTAGTCCATGCTACATGCAGCAATAGCTATACAACATTTAGGCTTCAGCCCCTAAGTCATAATTAACACTTGTGGGTCACATGGTGCAGACAATGACCATTTCCAAACAGAATCTAGCCATATGCCCTTGTCATTTAAAGGCATTAACATCACTGAGAATCAATACGCCTAGAAATGTGTACTTTAGAAAATCAGGACTGACATTTGAAATGGAGTCTCTTCTCACCTAAGACTATTTGAAAATTTGCTCTCAACTGGTTTAAACCGCAAAATTCTAATAAGGTTTTTCTCATGTGTTCTAAATTTTAACTAGATCCATAGCAATCTTGTAGTTTTACAATCGGATATTGTACAAATTTAATTAAATACTCCAGAGATTTTCAATACATTCATAAAATATCACTCTTACCAAAATGAGCATTCCCAATTTTATACAAAATGTATTAAAATTGCAGTGACTTATTTGGATACTTTAACTGATCAACGCTAAATAAAGAATAAAAGCCTTCGTATTGAAGGTCAAGTGAAGCATTTCACTGTGTTTTATCATTAACATATCACAATTCTTCAGTCAGCAGGATTTGTGCAAATAACCTAATGTGTACCTACTTCCAAATTATATTCAAGCCAAACAACAAACAAATAGATAACAAATAATTTGGTGCAGAATAATCAGAGAACGGTTTAAAAGCTTACATTGAGAAACCAGCTGTAAGAAAGAACAACATGCAAATGTACTTGGTTTCTGATCAACTTTTACCACCCTTACCTTGGCAACCATTAAGCTTTCAATTCTTGCCACTTCATTGATGTAGTTATGCACTCTTGATTTTAACTCATCCTTTTCATGCAAAGCTTGTTCCAACTCATTTGTGACTGCCTATTAGGAAAATCAGTGAAGGTTGCCATTAAGTTCTTTATTAATTAGTACAATATTTATAGAATTACTAAACTGCCTAGTATAAAATGAGCCAAACATCACAATTATCAAAGGCACAACTTTCTAACCACTGTATTCATTGTTTCTACAGAAAATAAGTAGAAGATGGAACTTAATGGCAACTAGTATGAAAGACCAGATATGAAAGAAAATAAATAATAAGTAATAAAAACAGAAGTTGCTGGAAAAACTCAGCAGGTCTGGGAGCATTTGTGAAGGAAAAAGTCAGAGTTAACGTTTCGGGTCTGATGACCCTTCCTCAGAACCGGACCTGAAATGTTAACTCTGATTTTTTCTTCACAGATGCTGCCAGACCTGCTGAGCTTTTCAGGCATCTTCTGTTTTTGTTCCAGGTTTACACCATCCGCAGTTCTTTCGGTTTTTATTAAGAAATAATAAGAGTTGCATAAATTGCAAAATAACACTGGAGACCACCATCAAGAGTTTGAAAAACATACTGAATTTGGAAATGTTCTAAGAATTTTTAAAAAATGCTCAAATTTAAAATCAAAATTGAAATACAGCTTTGCATGGTGAAAAGAATATTTCCTTATAATATATATGGATAGAGAAGGGACAATTTGCAGGTGATTAAATGTCAAACAAATAATTCATATTCAATAAATGTGGAGCTGGACAAACACAGCAGGTCAGACAGCATCAGAGAAGCAGGAAAGTCAACGTTTTGGGCCAAAACCCCTTGTCAGAACTGCCCAAAATGTTGACTTTCCTGGTCTTCTGATGCTGTCTGACCTGCTGTGTTCAGCCTCACATTTATTGACTGTGGCTTCCAGCATCTGCAGTCCTTACTGTCTCCAAATAATTCATTTTACCTGATTTTCCCTCGTCATTTGAGCCAAGTCATCTCGCAAACAACGATTTTCTTTAAATGCAGCATCTCGACACTGTTCTAATTCCTCTGAATCCTTATGAATAGAATCTAGTTGCCGACGTAAGGAATTTATTTCCCGGTCTCGGTTACTTAGGGTGTCATTCAAAAGGCTGATTGAAATTAAAGTTTAAAAACAAATCAAATTTTCAGAAGAAACAAAGTGTGATGTGACTATGGCTTTAAGAGATGTATTTTGTCCTGGGGCTTTTTTTTTTGAAGAGAAGTTTTAAGACAGAGGTAGCAAGCTGTCTATTTGAATTGAGTAAAGTAAATAGCTTGTGAGGTCTTGGGATTTTTTTTGAAAGTGGAACAATAGAAGCAGCCTGAATGGGTGGGATCAAGCACCCACAGAAACAGAATTTTTAGTTTTAATGTTACAGTAGCAGCTGTTGGAGTCATGAAGCTGGCTATAGAAGCTATTTTGCTTCTCTTTGTTACAGCTAAAAGCTGGGGTTTCTCTTCCTGCTGTTAGAATTGCATGTGAGATAATCTGTTTTACTGAATTTGTCTTTTTGCCATGGGTGCATTGATGAGATGTTACTACACTGGAACAGTTACTGTTTAGTAGTTAATTAACCTATTATTCTGTTAAACTTTCCAATAGTGTTAAGTTATTCCAATTTCTGCTTTCTTTTGTTATATTTTAATAGAGTGTATGAATAAAGTGTTTGCTTCAAATCTGGTAGTATGGCCAACTGAATTGCGTCCGGGACAAAGTTAGGATCTAGGCTATCTTCTTAATATATTTTGAGGGGGTTAGCCTGGTCCATAACAAAAATTATCTATGTTCTGTTGTGTTACCGTTATACTTACTCTAATGCAGATTCTAGTTCAGTCACAGTAATTTTCATATTTGTTATCGCCTTTTCCTATACATGGAGGCAATATGAAGTGTATCAGTCATTTTCAGAAGTGAAGGATACAAAAAATATCATTAGTACTCCATTAGTGTTCAAGAATGGGTATACATATGCAGTTTGAGCCTCCTGCAATCCCATGGGAAGCCTGCCACTTTCCCTTTCATATCCTATTAGGATAATTGTTCATATCCCATCAACAGTGCCAATTGCTTGACCAGAATTTTAAGTTGATCAACAACGCTAATTTAATAATACTTAAGTGACTATAGAGTATGAAAATGCTTTCAATGGTGGTCTAATATGCTAGTTCTTTAATGCTAAGATTAAATTTCTTCTCTCCTCGTACTAGGATGACAGGCAGAACTACTGTTGCTAAATATCTGTGGATTTCTCTAACGAAAAATTAAAAGATTTTTCACAAGACAATTTAAATCTAATGTAACAAAAACAGGAAATACTGAAAATAATCAATAACTCAGACAGCATCTGCAGAGAAACAAAGATTTTCAAGTGCCAAGTCCCACACTCAATTCCCTAGTATTTTTCTACACAACAGGAATGAATAACAACTGTCAGATATAATAATCTACTTACTGTTTGCTCAACACACAACAGAAAGGTTAACTTAAGACTGGAATGGTCAGATTAGTGTATTCACCCGATTGGCAAGGTTCTCTTCTAAAGTAGCAATTTTTTCCGTTTTGTCATCTACAGCGTCCTGCAGGCAATCCTTTTCCTGGTCTAGAGCAGATACTGTAGTTTTTAATAAGTTGATTTCTTCTCGTAGAGCAGAATTCTGTCGGTTGAACTCATCTAAGCAAAAAAAAACACATTATACGTGTTTGACCACTTGTAATGCATCTTGACTGTCTACGTAATAACTTTATCCTTATAGGTGCCTGCTTTTATAACTATGAAAGCATATAAAACACTGTCAGTCACAATGTTCAACACAATAGGTTCTTAATATTTTCTAATTTACGGCTCCATCAGCCTCACTTGAAGGTTGCTGCTTACAATACCCATGCCCCAGGATCTAGAATACACTGCTATTCTGCCTCTCTCCAGCTACTCATTTAGGACTCTGTACTTTGGCTACTGACCTGATAGCTCCACAAATTAAAATCACTTTTCCAATTCTGCCTTTGGGGAGTGATTTACACAATATTTTATGCTGAAAGTGCCAAATAAATAATAAAACAGTAAAAAATAATAAAGTGGTTGTGTGTCTTTGCACCATTTTAAACCACAAGACACATTTCTAAAGTCTGGACTTAACCTGCATGGTTTTGTACATAACTGTTTTCAAACCTGATAAACTTGGCTTAGTAGATGCAATGTTAAATTGCTATTACCTAGTCTCTCCTCTTGTCTGTCAATTCTGTCTTGCGATGTTTGAAGCTCCTTGGTTTTCGCACTCAACCGATGCTGTAAGTCTGCAAGAGACTTCTCCAGGTGTTCATTCAGCAACCTGAAGCAATAGTACAAAGCAGTCATTTCTTGGTTAGGATAATTTATTGTTTAACATTTAAAAGTGAGAAGTATTCAAAAACACAACTTGATTTATCTTGGAATTTATCTTTGAGTCTGAACCATGAAATTACGGTGGCATCTTTAAGTGATTAACTTGACGTACTGTCCTTTGTTCCAGTATGTTTCCCTGAATGTGTTCATTAGTAGAGGGTCTGGAGCTTGTTATGACCAGACCAAACCCCCTTAAAATACATCAAGGAGACATCCTAGACCCTAACTTTTAACTTATTTAAAGGCAAGTGTAAGGCAGTGTTCCAGATGTGATTCAATTGGTCAAACTACCAGGCTTTAAGCAAAACACACTTTGTTCTTACAACACAGTGAAAATACAAATAAAAAATGGCACAAATTTAACTCTATTTAAATATTTAATATAACAATGCATATTTTCACTCCTAATCATCAACTGTTTCAGTATAGCAGCATCCCACAAACACACTGTTGGCAAAGGCAAATTCAGGAAAACAGATTTTTTTTACTTACTGTCTCCAGTCCAGGAGAAAGAAACACCAAAATAACGAATCTAACGCAGAGAGAGAACTCAAACTTTTAGCTGCAGCAGAGGGAGCTATATCTAGCCACTTCAATTACAAAAACACCAATTTAAACTTGAAGCCAAACTAAAGCCTTGGGTCTGTGTGAGATTGACTCCATACGCTTGTGTTTTTTTGTCTAAAAAGGAAACACTCAGGGAGCTCAAAGCTGTTTACCCACTGCTTTTGAAGCAGACATTCCTTCACCACTGGTAACACCTCTCTGTAAGAGAAACGGCACAGAACAAATCCCTCTTAAAGGCACAGTACCATCACAAGCTCCAAACCTTTTAGAGGTTCTGTCTATCCTCATACCACATCAATGAATAAGCCATACAGCATGTTGAGTGTACACCATGCTCAACACATTCATTTGCTTCTTCAATAAAACATTTCCACATTTATTGTACGCTTATTTTTTGGATGGCTGATGCTCTGGATTAGCTGCATCCTAATGTTAACCAGTACCTTCCACTGCCTGGACTGACAAGGAGAGCTGTGGTGCCACCCATGGCCTTGCCTGATCCGTTACAGCATTGCTTGCCGATGTTTGATCTATTCATTTTAACAGCTTCACTTCTCACTGCGTGCTGTGATCCTCTTTCTCAAGTTCAATGGTTCACCTAATATGACCTAATATACATTAGCTCTCCAATAGAATTGGTATTTTTCCACTGTTGCTTTCAATGCTTTAAGCTTAATAGCTTGTAGTTAAGAAAAGGATACTCCATTGGGAATACTGTTCTAGGATTGTAGAGGGCTTTAAACACTAGAGGGTGGAGCAATGATGTGGTAAATTAGAAGGAAAGGATGAGGTAATAAAGGAAGATAGCAATAAGAGTGATTAGGATCTCAGTGTGGTGGAAAGGGATACACCATACAAACTTTACAGTGTACCAGCAGATGCAAGGCCAGGGTTTCTAAAAACAGCAATTTAACAGAACTATAGACCCTGTAGCTGAATGCATATAGCATTTGTAACAAAACATGTGGATTATGTGCATAAATAAGAACAGCAACCTGATAGCAACTGGATTCCAAATATTTGAAGGTAATTATCATTTTAGGAAGTTAGGAATGGAGATGAGGTATCTTTATTAATTAAATATGATATTAGTGTAGTGGGGAGACATGATCTTAGTTCTACAGACAAGATGTAAAATCAGTTTGGGTAGAGGTAATAAACAGAAAGGGTATTAAATCATTTGTGGAAATAGGTTTCAGTCCCCAACAGTAACTACACTGCATGATGGATTATACCGGAGGAGATAACAGGGGTGAAATAAAGGTATAGCAATAATCATGGGTGATTTTAATCTACATATAGATTGGATGAAGTAGATTGGCAAATATAATCTGGAGAATGAATTCATTGGGTGTAGCTCAGACAATTTCTTAGAGCAGAATGTACTTGAACTAACCAGACAGCAGGGTGTTTTCGACCTGATAGTATGTAATGAGACATCATTTGTGTAAACGACAAACAACATCGGCCCCAACACTGACTCTGTGGGATGCCACTGGATATTGACTTACAGTTAGAAAAACACCCCTCATCACCTCCTGCTTCCTGTCCCTCAGCCAGTTGTGGATCCAATTGGCAAATTTTCTTGGATCCCAAAAGACTCCTCCCTTTGCAATCAGTCTCCTAAGCAGAACCTTATCAAAAGCCTTGCTGAAGTCCAAGTCTACTACATCAAAAACACTGTCCTCATCTGCAAACTTGCTCACCTCTTCGAAAAATTCAGTCAAGTTGGTCAGACATCACTTCTCCTTAGTAAAACCATTCTGACTGTTCTTGATTAATCCCTGCCTTTCCAAATGCAGATTTATGCTATCCAGCAGAATTGCTTCCAATAGTTTCCCGACCACTGAGGTTAAAAGACCGGTCTGTAGTTTCCTGGTTTATCCCTGCACCCTTCTTGAATAATGGTACCAAATTAGCTGCTTCCCAGTGCCTCTCCTGTAGTCAGGCAGAACTGAGAATTTTTGCAAGAATCTCTGCTATTACTTCCCTTGCCTCACTCAACAACTTGGGTACATTTCATCCAGCCTTGGAGATTTATCTATTTTTAAGCCTGTAACTACTCAGAATGTTTTCTCTGTCTATGCTAATTTCTTTAATTGTATCACAGACGTTCTCCCTGATTTCTATATCCATATCAACCCTTTTATTAGTGAACACTGACCCAACGTATTAATTTAGAAACCTACCTATATCCTTTGGCTCCATGCACAAATTACCACTGTAGTTCTAAATGGGCCCTTCTCTTTCCCTTGTTATCCTTTTACCCTTAATGTACCTGTAAAACAACTTAGAATTTTCCTTTCTTTTACCTGTCAGTATCCTTTCATATCCCCTTTTAGCTCTCCTAATCTCTCATTTAAGTTCTCTCTTGCGTATTCTATGCTCCTCTAGGGCTTCTGCTGTTTTGAGCTCTCAGTATCTGCCATAAGCTTCCATTTTTCTCTTAATCCTTTCTCTTAGGCTTACTTAGGTTAAGTGAATATCCAAGAAATTGTCAGATGGAGGATAATGTGGCAGGAAGAATAATAAAATTGCCCATTATTTAAATTGAGAGAAAGTCCGTCATTCAAAGTTGTGGATGTACTGGTACATGAATCACAAATAGTTCATTATGCAGGTACAATAGGTGATAAGAAAGACAATTAGAGCAAAGCCATTTATTGCAAGAATTGAATATAAAATTAAGGAAGTTCTGATACAGTTGCATAAACATTGGTGAGACCAGATCTGGAATAGTGTGTACTAAATGATATAATTCTATTAAAAGAGTTTTAGAGGAGGTTCACTTGACTGATTTCTGGGACAAAGAGTTATCTTAGGAGATACATTGGACAGGATGGGGTTGAGAAGAATAAGAGGTGACCTTATTGAAACTTAAGATCCTCAAGGGGCTTGACAAGTTTAATCCAGAGAGGCTTTTTTACTTTTTGGAAGTACTAGAACTAGGCAACGCAGTTTAAAGATAAGGGGTCTCCCATTTAAGACAGGGATGAGGAGAAACTTTTTCTCTCAGAGTGTCTCTAATCTTTGGAATGTTCTTTCTCAAAGAGCAGTGGAGGCAGGGTTATCGAATATTTTAAAGGCTGATTTAGATAGATTCTTTATCAACATGGGAGTCAAAAAGGATAAGGAGCAGACAGGAGAGTAGAGTTAAAAACAATCAATTCAGCCATGAAATATCAAATCATGCAGCAGATTTGAGGGGCTGAACAGCCTAATCCTGCTCCAAATTGTTGTACCCAATGTGTGCCAAAACCATCATAAAAATCAGCTTGTATTTAAGTCTTTAACATAGTAAAATGTCCTAAAGAGCTTTACAGGAGCATTATTGAACAAAATTTGATGTCAGGTCAAATACCAGGAGGTATGAAGACAAATGACCAAAAGCTTTGTCAAAATGCCAAGTTTTATGGACCATCTTAAAAGAGGCAGGAGAACAAGAGACAGTAAGATTTAGGTAGACAATTCCAGAGTTTAGGATTCAAGCAGGTAAAGGTGGTGGAGCTATTAAAATCAAGATTTGCAAGAGACCAGAATTAGAGTATTCTAAGTGGGCTGTCGATTGGTGAATTTAAAGAAAGAGAAAGTCTTCTTTCTTTTGTATGGGATGACAATGTTGCTGGTAAGACAAGTATTTGTTGTCCATCCATAACTGCCTTTGAACTGATTGGCTTCCTAGATCAGTTAGGAGGGCAGTTCGGAGTAACGCACATGGCTATGAATCAGGAGTTAAATGAAGGCCATACAAGGATAGCAGATTTCCTTCCCCAAAGAAAATAAGTGAACCAGGCAGATTTTTGTGATTATGAACAGTGGTGACATGACTGCCATCAGGCTAACTACATTTTCTGGATTTTTTTTATTGAATTCAAATTTCACTATCTGCCATGGTGGGATTCGCATCCATGCCTCCAGGACATTTGCCTGGGGCTCTGCACAGTCAGGAGACAATTGCAGTGATAAAGAGGGCACAAGACATGGAGGGAAAACACGGATGAAAATTTTAAAATCAAGGCATTGCTTGATCTGGAGCCAGGTGAGCATTGAGGTGATCGAGGAATAGGCTTTGCTGTTGGTTAGGATGCAAACTGCAGGGTACCAAGTGGGAGACTAGCCAGCACTGAAATGGAACAAGCAGTCTGTTAATTTAGAGAGTCAGGGGATTGAGAAGTGGTGAGGTAGATTAGAATGCTGTTGGTGGGCTTGTAGAACCTGACTTTGTGTTAATCAGAAATAGGATTGGGCCAAAGAAAGATCCTTGGGAAACATCAAAGGGAACAATATAGGATCAGGAAGAGGAGCCATTGCAGGTTATCACTCTGACAATAACTAAATGCTTAAGATTGGAACTAGATGAAATCAGTCCCATCCAGATGG